GGCTGCCCGCATCATCTGGCGTAGTCTTGGAGAGTTGCGAGCCGCGCGGCAGACAAAGTCGGGGCTGGAGATGTCCATCTCAGGGCCCTCATTTTGGGTCGTGAAAGACCAGCCAATGGATTAGGGGCCTTATCAACCTGCCAGTAGTTGTAACCTTCGTAGTTGTCGCTGCTCAGATAGAAAGTACTGAGGTATCCGTGGGCTGCGGCCTGGGAGACCAGGACCGCCATGCTGAGTGCAACTGAACGAAGCATCTTGGCTTCCGAAAGGTGATCAACGATTTTGTGATGGACTGAAACTAATATGAGAGCCGGATGATGATGTCGAGATGCAGAGTCCGTTACTGACAAAAGCCGATGACCTGAGCTCATATTTATATAATCGACACTTGACGCGACACATCGCTCATCAAGCTCCATCTTGCAACTTGTGACCTTGGCAGCTCGACAACAGCTAGGTCACCTGGAGGTCCATTTTCACTCGGTCTTGAAGACTTCGATATTGTGAAGGATCGTAGGCCTGTCAGTCCATACAGTCTCGACTCTTGAATACATCTTCTCTTCCACCAATCACGATAGTGTACCAAAGACCTCAGCGTCAAGACGAAGCAATTGTGGCATGAGTCTCATATGTGAGCTCTAGCGAGAAACGTGTTCCAGACCAACATCGAGCGGCTCCCGTCTAAGAATATGTCAGTTCGGGCGGAAGGGTTGCCTGATAGAGCTAGACGAACCAGTAGCTGCGATCCTACCCGGAGTTCCTGGGACTACGCGCCTGCACGTGAAGGCTGCAGTCAATTCATTCCGTGCAGGTTTCCTTTTCCTCACCAATCTGGAGCCGCCATGGCAGTCTTGGCAGATTTGAGAAAATGCAAGCACGGTGATGCCAAGACTGCTTCCTTCGCCAAGATTCGTAGAGCGATGGATACCGGGGGTCTAGTCCAAAAGAGCAGGTGATGGATGCTTAACCTTGCATTAGGCGACATGGGTGACCAATCGAGGAAAGGGTAATCAGCACGCAGTGTAGACGCCCAGTTACGGAACAAAATCCTTTGACAACGGGTTGTCACGCCCCATTGGGTAGGTTCTTTTCGGCAGATCGACGTCGGCTCGCTTGCATTCAGGCATACCGCCCTGGCGATCCATCGGTTCCGTCCGGGAATCCTTTGGACCGGCCGGATAGTATTTTTTGTTCCATGCGAAAATCACAAATTGCATGATTTCTCCGTGTTTCCCTACATGAGGTTCTACGAATGAGACAATCGTGGCGGAGCCTCCCATTGTTTGAATTTGCAGAAAGCGGCCTGGAAGAGTCATTTCGACACGAGCAAGATAGGCTTTAGTAGGTGTAATATTCCGATTGTTTTGTTTCCTCTACTTGCAGAAAAGCAGCAACACCTTCGTTTGATCCTGCGTCACCTCCTGGAGGGAAATACTTTCTTTCTGAGATCCCAGATCCTTGTCCTCCCAGACATCTCTGACACGGACATTACCGTTCTTGCAACCCTGGAACCCGGGAAGTTTTGACCATGGCAGCTCAATATCAGTGGTGTGATTCACCACATTGTAGTTGAGAGCAAGCACAACATGATTGTACTTTTTGTACTTCACAGGTCCAGCCCAGACCTGGATTTCGTCCTCTTTGGAGAGTTCAGCTACATAAGAGACAGCTACCCCGAGGTCATCTTGGTTGATTCCAATGATATCTTTCTTCAACAGCACATCGAGAGAAGATTTTCTGATTGTTCTTATGTCCGCACCAATGATGAGAGGGCTCTTCAAGGCTGCCCAGAAGCTCAGGTGGGTCTGATCCTGGTGAAGTGTGAAGTTGCGGTTGACGCCAACCTCGAGCATGTCCATATCAGCTTACTCTGGGTTAGCTCTTCGTCATCCTTAGCAATCTTTCGAACAAGAGACTGACCCCAGGAGCCTTTCTTCTGGAATCCAGAGATCTCGCGCATCTTGCGAATCATGGTCAGAACGCTAACACCAGCGTAGCCAGTGTTGAGACAGTAGGCAGTCTTGCAGACGGAGTTCCCGTCATCGCGAAACTTGGCGTGGATGTCCCCAGACATTCTGTATGAATCAGTGAACTGGTCGGCCCAGTACCAGGGCCACTGGTGGCCCCATTGACAAACTGCGTAGAAGATGTCGCGACCTGTGTTCTTCAAAGCGTGAGACATGATTTGGAAGCGCTCCTGGAGTGGTCGGGTATTGCCGTAGAATCCTCCACAGTTGTCGTACTGTCTGATCAGTTGACATTTCCGGTGTCGGAGCTCAAGCTTACCTTCAGATAGTCCATACCCCAGTCTGCATACGTTTGGGCGTCGAGTTCTTCATAACCCAGACTGCCTGGTTGAAAACCACAACCGAAGATTCCGGCATCACTGGCATGCACAATTAGCACAAGACTTTTGTGCAGCTGGTGGATCTCGGCCTACCTGTATAAGCCAAACTTGAGGCCCTTCTTATGGACCTCATCGGCAAGTACCTTAAGGCCGGAGGGAAAGCGCGTGGCATTGGCTTGTTGCCTCCCATCCGGACCTCTGGTAAGATTTTGCCAGCCATCATCCATGACTAGGTACGTGTAGCCAGCATCACGAAGTCCAGTATCCACTAAAGCTTGCGCGGTTCCTTCGACAATCGTCTGGTTGATTCCGAGCTTGAAGGTGTTCCAAGAATTCCACCCTGCCCGAAGATCAGTAAAGTCTCGTTCACGGACGGAGATGTGAGGTTTGCACGTGCCCATTTGCGGCTTTTGGGCTCTCTTGGAAGAACCGCTCGCCCCGAAAACGGGAGCGACTGTTGCGAGAACGTAGAACCAGAGCATGGTGATGGTGAGGAATTGCGCTGGATGGCGACTGGACTTCGAACCCACTTGCTGATTGTTTCAAAGCCAGTTAAGATCTTATACAAGCCAGCCGTCCATGCGGTTTTCATCCCATATTCAAAACCGATCAATTCATCGGATGGATGGATCCGCGTCATTGGTCCCTTTCCCCACATCTGCACTCCCCTACTCCGCCCCGGAATCTTCATTTGACACCGGAATGAGTCCGGGGTAAGTCCCGGACGGGCCCCGAATGATAGATCGACGGGGCATGTTCCTCCTTCAAGCGATATCACCCCTCACAATATGCCCTATGACTTGGAGAAGGTGTAAGTGCCTTGAAGCTTAACTGGGTCACTCTCCGTGAAACGGGCCGCCGCATGATCTCATGAGGGCCGGATTGGCTGCCAGAACCTGCACCTTGATTATGCAAACAGTCTGAGGTTCACTCCATGGTGGCGTCTCCTATATCACTTCCTAGAAAGCTCCAGTTTCCAGCGCACCGCTCTGCACAACTTGATTTTGCCAGCCATTGAGATCGAGATATTCGAATCCCTTTTCCCTCTCTATCGAGGCTATAGGATGCTTTTCTTCAACGTGATCGTTACATCTCTGTTCGGCGCTGTGTGCAGCGCCGAGGTCGTGGACCGAAAGCACCTCGCCTACACTCCGACGCCAGAGGGAACGTGGACCGTTCCCAAGGTTCAGGGAAAGACAACACTCCTTGACTTCATCAACTCCCGATCAGATCTCACAACACTGGCCGAACTCTTGAAAGAACCAGCCGGTGAGTTGAGCACGCTGCCTCCCCCGACTGTGTCTATACTCACCCACCAAGGCTTCACGACGGCATTCGACACCGTTCCCAGCTGGGACTTTACGTTCTTCGCTCCTTCGAATGAGGCTTTCAACAATACCGGCCAATATTTCGACACGTACGCCGCAACGGCGAAGGGGAAATGGTGGCTCGGCAATCTTCTGCAGCACCACTACATTCCCAACACGAAGGTCGCCAGCTCGGTCTTCAACACGACGAAGACGCGCTTGCAGACGGGGACGTACCTCTTCATCGGCACGCAGGTCGTCGATGGAACTCTCACGTTGAATGGCGTTTCTAAGGTCACCGAGTCTGACCTAGCAGTGGAGAAGGTAGGAATTCACCAGATCGTGGGCCTCTTGAAACAAGTTTTGCTGATCAATCCCAATGAAAAGGGCGTCGTGCACATTATCGATCGAATCCTGGACCCCTCGGCGCAGGTTTTCGAGGAGGATATTGCAAGGGCATCGCAGAGATTCATCGCGGGGAGTTGTTCGAACCCTGCGCTGCCGTATTGCTGAGATGAGGAACCATAACTAGAGCTCATCTTTATCTTGCTTGTCGATGGGTGATACGCTGCAAATGAGCCGTAAATAATTTACATCGAAAAAAGAGTATGCAAGGCTTCTAGGAATAGTAGAACGTGCTTGAAATTTGCTTGATAAAGCGAATTGTGGGATTCACGTCATGCCCTGCATACATATGGGGGTTTATCTTCACGGGATTCCATACATCGTTGCAGATATAGTGAGCATAAGATCTAGGAAAGCTGCAGAAAATTACAATTGACCCGAGGCCCGACATACTTGAATCGACGTATCGAAGAATGTTGATTTCTTTTTAGCTGTGAGGGCGCGCGCGGTGTGGACAAGAAACTCCTGTATTCACTTCTTCAGGAGGAATACGTTAACTTAATTGATGCACTACCTAAAAATGACCTGATAGGTCACCTGCAGATCTAGAAAACATAGCGGAAGTCAGGGTTCTCCTGGTCTGTGAGATCCGCGAAAGCGTTGCTGTGCGTAATCTTTTCCTCGCCAGCCTGCTGAAGTGTTTCGGCTTCACCAGCGGTGGCAACGGCGGCACGCTTACCCATGTTGCGACGGGTGAGTAGGAAACGCATGACAATGAGAATGACGTTGAAGATTGCATAGAGGCAGAAGTGGACAGTGAAACCGGTGCGATACCGGGGCGCGTCCCAGGCCTGGAATATCTGGGGGGCAGTCATGTTGCCAGCGGCCCAACCGACGAAGCACATGGTGAGTGTGGTAGACTTCTTTGTCTCTGGTCAAAGTGTTAATTGAGCCGGTCGGTGTGGCAGATTGTAAAGATTTTACGTACGGCCGGCGACGTTGCGCGAAATGAGGGAGAAAACCAAATTGCCCTCAGCGAGGAAGAACTGAGTGCAGTAGAAAGCAATCAGAAGACCGACGCGGTTCGATGCCGTTGGGACAATGCTATATATGACAGCCGTGCCAATGATGGCGGGGAACGACCAAGCCTGGAAACTGTTACTTGAAAGCACGACTTGAAGATTCCGGGGCAACTCACATGCATGGTAAATGCAGTCTGTTGAGTGCGCTGCGCAGTGAAAGCGGCAAAAATCATGATAATGATGGTGATGGCACCCTGGGCAATGTTGAGCAACTGAGTCTCAAACACGGTGAAGCCAAATCCACTAATGATGAGGTTGGAGAAGACACCAAGACCACCAATAATGAGAGTCGAAGTAACCTGAAGCAGGACGTAGCACCAAGTGACGGGGTCAGAGACAGCCTCAATGACTTGGTGGCGTTTGTAGGTCTTGTTCTGAATACCTGTCTCATTCGCGCGGACGTGCTCCGATGAGCAGCCTCTTCGTGTCTTCGTCGGAACAACTTTGGCCTTCATGGGCGAATCGGGAAAGAACCAAGCCGAGACAAAAAACTGCCAGGACACAGGTGGCAATTTCCCAG